TAAGAGATGTGATTAGATCATGCGTATATTTATCGGGATGGCGCACAGTCGGAAGCGCCTTTATGCGGGCGCTTCAGATGACAATCAGCAAGAGAAGCGAGTGGAGAAAAGGTACTTCTCTCAGAAAATGTACAAATAAAGGTAATTAAACATTTAAAATTATTATTTGGAGCATTGGGATCGCTAGACGAGGGCTTAATGAATTAATTTTGACGAAAACCTGAAAATGGAAATTTTTCACTTTTTTGCCTTTAGCTCAAAATTAGGCCGTGCGCATTCCGACTTATGTTGCCAGCATGGGTCACATATGCTCTAGACATGTTGAGCAAGGGACGATGGAAAGGAGAACTGATATATTTGCTAGTGGGCTGGTTACAAAAAAAAAATTAAAGCTGCATATTCACTTCCGTTCAAAATTTTGGGGCCAGCAAGATTTTTTTAGAAAGTAGGAAATGAATACTTTTATTCAGCAATGACATTAACTTGATCAAAAGGGACAGTAATGGCATTTATATGTCATTATAAAACATTTCCATTTCAAATAAATGCTGTTCTTTAAAAGAGTTCTTTCTATTCATCAAAGAACCCTAAAAAATGCATCACAGTTTCCACAAAAATATTAAGCAGCACAACTGTTTTCAACATTAATAAGAAGAAGAAGAAAGGTTTCTTGAGCAGCAAATCAGCATATTAGAATGATTTCTGAAGGATCATGTGACACTGAAGACTGGAGTAATGATGCTGAAAATGTATCACATTTTAAAATACTGTATATTAAAATAGAAAACAATATTTTCAGTTTCTAATAATATTTCACAATATTACGGTTTTAACTTTATTTCTGACCAAACAGATGCATGGTAAGTATAAGAAACTGACCCCAAACGTTTGAATGAAATGAAATGAAATGAAATGAAATGAAATGAAATGAAATTAATAGAATAGAATAGAATAAAATAAAATGATTAAAAGTTGCATTATTACTTTTCCCTGGACACTCTGCTGTGCTATCTTTTTCCCAAACAATCCACAGACCACAATTCACTGGTGATACCAGAGAATTAACAGTGGAAACAAATGTGCCCAATCACCTGAAATACTTGCAAATATTCTTCTTATCAGTCTAATTCAGGCTCCAAGCTCCAGAGTTCCTCTCCTGTGGTGTGCTGGAAGGTGTCAAGTGCTATGAAAAGATAAGCCCGCGGCGCTGCTGACTGCAGCTTTTGTGTGAAGCTGATCTTGATAATATTATCTTAACCTTTTCCTTTAAAAATGTGGGGCGAGTCTTTGCAGCGGAACAATTTTTGTTTCGCCCTTGAGAAGTGAGGAGGACAAATATTAGCTTTGATGGGTGGAAAAACACAGAATGGAAAAAACACAGGCAGAAATGGAAGAACATCATCCACTACCTGAAATAAACAGAAGCCGGGATGAGTGTGGAACTGACAGGGCAATTTTTAGCAAATGATAATGTTTCTAAAGTGTTTCATAATGGCATTGCTGCAAATAGACCGATGTAAATGAAAGTTACAGGGAAAGGGAAACTCTTTCCTTGGTCTATTACAACAGAAACACATTAAATCAGGTGGAGTCTATGGGTACAGTTCATACAGACAAAAAGTTGACGCTACTTTGAGTTAAACTGTTCTGTGGGCATTTCAGCACCTGAGCTTACAGATGCACGCTCACACAGTAAAACGAGCAATTCAGCTCTTGTGTAAATCTAATCAGTCTTCCACGGCAAGCCGCAGACGTGTTTAATTGATTCCAGAAGCGTTGCCTTTGCGTAAAGCTGGGATGATGAGAAGAGGAGAAATGGAGGGAAGGATGGAGGGCCGTGAAGAGAGAGGTGGCGCGCTAATGAAAGGTCAGCTGAGATGCACGGCCCATGCTGCAAGTGCCAGAAACACACACAGCAATTTTATGGTTAATTGGGCCATGCATCTGGAGTCATACATCACTGAGGCGTGCAGAGAGACCCAGTGCCAGATCCAAAACACACACACACACACACACACACACACTATACATATATATTTAAACAGGAAGATTCTTTTTAGATGATAGATGTTTCTAGCTGTTGCAATTTGGTTAATTAGTGCGATTAGTTAGTCAAAGGTTGATAGGCCCAAAGTCAACTTGGGTAGAGCTTAGAAGACCACACTGAATTAACCAGCTACCATGTTCGAAAAGCAGACTGACCTCATTAAATGGTAGAATAAACCTTTTTTTTTCCTACAGGAAGTGGCCAAACCTAACATATATATATATATATATATTCCTATGAAATATTTTAGGACTTACTATTTGGACGATCCAATACTTCCCCATTAAATCCCAGTACATAAGAAAGTTGCATCACTGTTTGGATCCCGACCTAAAATAACTCTGCTTCATACATCAGTGTTTTTGGACAGACACAGACACGGGTGGGTTTTCCCTCACACCAGAACCCTGGTGGCTGCACCGCCGCGGTGTTCTGTTTTCCCTCAGAAATCAACACATCCGAGCTGGCCTCCCTCGCTCCTACTCTGCTCTACTCCACAGAAGAAACAACAGGCACACCCTGGTCTGCATCACCGAAGGCCTTTCAAGATATTTCTGTCAAATTCCTGCTCTCTCCACATGTTTAGGATCACCAGGACCCACTTTGAGGTGGCTTTAATTGTAACATGGTGAGAGCGACAGAAAAAGAGTGAGAGACGGGGTTTTCAGAGTGTGAAACTGCATCTGTTAGTATGTGGCACAGTCAGACGTGTTTCAAAGCAAACCGCCGCTCTCCTGATGAGAAGACTTCAAAACCTTGTCGCAGGCCTGCTGTTTGATCGGGCCCAAAAAAGCTCACTTTTTAAAGACGAGTGAAAATGAGCCTATTGTGCTTCGGCCCACAAAGGCGGTTAAGATTCATTTGACAACGGCGCACACTTGTAAAGCCTGTCTGAAACGTGAGTCTGTTTTTATGTGAGAACTCAGTCATTTGAGAGACCTTTTTTCCTGTTACACAAACAGCAGGTAGTAAATGACAAGTAAGGTGAGGAACAAGAGTTTCCAATTTAAGGTGAACATGGACATTTCTGCACCACTAGCATAAATGGATCTGCAAAAATAATTTGCAACCAGTTTACTAACTAGAATTAACTCCATTTTCCATAAGATGACAAACAAATAGTCCTGCCCATAAAATATTGTTTAGATGCATATTGAAAGGTAAATGAGAGCATTTTGGAAAAAGTGTTTTTCTACAATCGTCCATAAACTGAAAGTTATTTTATTAAAAATAATATACACCACCGTTGAAAAGGTTTTGATGTTTTTGAAAGAAGTCTCTTATGCTTACCAAGGCTGCATTTATTTGATCAAAAATACAGTAAAACATTAATATTGTAAAACATTAATACATTTAATATTAAAATGCAAAATAACTGTTTTAAAGTTTATTCCTGTGATGCAAAGCTGAATTTTTAGCAGCCATTACTCTAGTCTTCAGTATCACATGATCCTTCAGAAATCATTCTAATACGCTGACTTAGTGTACAAGAAATATTTCTTATGACTATCAATGTTGAAAACGGTTATACTGCTTAATATGTTTGTGGAAACTGTTTTTTTTTCCAGAATTCTTTGAGGAATAGAAAGTTCAAAAGAATTATTTATTTAAAATGTAAACAAGTCTTTACATCTTTAAATATTTTTCTTCACTGTTGTTGTTTTTTTTCAATTTCATGCATAATTGCTGAATAGAAGTATTAAGTTACTTAATTTTTAAACTGAACCCGAACTTTTGAATGGTTTTTCATTTCATTCCATTCTAACTCTATATCCTAGAAATGTAGAAATTTAATAAGAATGTTAAATACATCCTCAGTTAATTTCAGAATAGCATGCAGTCTACTGTTTTATCAGAATAAGAAATATCTTGATATAGTGGAGCAAAAAAAAAAAAACAATACCCACCTGGGGTATATCAGCAATGTCTCCCAGTCTTAATTTTCCTGGAGTCCAGCCTGGCCCTTTAAAAATGACGGACAGCTTATTTGAAATTCCTTCAGCTTCCCAGAACCTCTGCCATAGGTACGGTTAATAAAGAAACTTTAGAGAGGAAAGAAAAGAAGAATGAGGGTATAAACCATACATGGCACATGCAGCCTTAATATTAAGCAACCCTCTTTACTCTTTACAACTATGATGAGGAAATACTAACTCTTTGTATTTTATTCATTTTACAGACTCTTCATCTCCCTGCATTTTTTTAATCACAGTTTGTATTTCACCGTAAGTTAAACATTATTCATAATTAATTTTATTCATCATCGTCTAGTCCTCGTGTCTAAATGCTTTTTGTCACACACATCAGATCACTCTTACTCCGGACCGCCACAGGAGAGCACCAAAAAAATAATCAAATACAACCTCCATTTGGTTTTGCAGGACTCTTTCCCCTCTCCTGAGCCATATGTTTAAAGTGAAGTAATAATGTTATGGTTACAGCATGGCTTTTCCACTAGCACGGTAATGTGAGGAGAAGCCCGGCTCCCATTGACTCTGCTCAGATATTTACATCTCTAAAATTAGGCCGGTCTGATACACCAGAGCCCATTATGTGAAACCCAATTCATCTGCTGTGTTGATATTTTTACTAGTCAAAGATCTTGATAGAATGTGGGGGCAAATTAATCTAAACATTTTGTTTATGAATGATGTAAACTTTGCTTACAAACTGTGATCACTGAGCCGATGTATGTTAAAATAATACCATAATAAAAAAGCTAACTATAAAACAGACATTATGCAAAGATTAACGCAAAAACACAATACTTTTTTACAAACTAAATCAGCATTTTACTAAAAATAATAAATTAAGAAAAGAATACATTTTTGCTGTAATATTTGTATTAATATTTCAATATATTTGTAAAAATTAAAATTAATTAATTAATAATTAAATAAAAAATCAATATAATCACAGAATATTAGAATTTTAATTCAAAATCCTGACTATCCTCGACAGTCCAGATTTCAAATGTGCTGATTGGGTGTGTGAGCCCATAGACAACTTTATCACTCTAAGGAGTGAACGTACCTGTGATGGGACGAAGCAGAGAACATCTCATTTTCAAAGTGTATCTGGCTTGCATGTGTGTTTATAAATCACAATTCACAAGATCATTTGTTTTGTGAAGTAACAGGTTCAGTGTTTTTCAGGTTATAAATTACACTACTAATTTGTGCTTTGTGCCATTTTTATTACTCCAGACAGTAGAAACATGCCATGAAATAATGGGGAGAGAGAGTTTAATGAATGCATGTGCTGCTAGGGCTCATTTTCATTCATTTTCAGACAACAACTATTGGTTGACATTTTTTCAAAAGCAGATACACACAGAACTTACCAAACATCCTGTCCCATATGATCAGAATTCCCGCATAATTCTTATCGATGCAATATGGATTTCGCCCTGCGAATGCATGATCAAATGTTACACACATAATCACTAGTCATTATGGAATCTCTGTTAACAGGTGTAGAATGGTTTTCCTTAGATGAGGGGTATAACCAGTATTAACAGTGTTACTTAAGTCACATGATAAGACAATACAGGCCTAGCTTTTGACCCACAGTGATAAACTGAGCAACACCAATGCACTAAGGGGAACAGTGCAATGCAACTCTACTGTCAAAGGTAATAAAGCTTACCATGATGAACTCTATGGTGGCTGGGAGTATTTAGGATCCACTCCAGAGGTCCAAGATTTTTGACCAGCTAGTGACAGAAACAGTTTCAAAAGGTCAAATATTCTAAGCACCATAAAATATCATAAAAGTAGTTAATGTGACTTATGTGCTATATTCCAAGTCTTCTGAAGTCATATGATAGCTTTGTGTGAGGAACACTCTGAGATTTGACGTTATTCACGGACAATCTTGACATCAGTTGAACTGAATCAGTTGATCCAGTTCACAAAACCCATCTGATTGATTCATTCACAAATCCTACTGATCTGTTGCCCAAGTTCAAATCACAGATTCAATGATCCATTCGCAATGGTTAACAGCTTACTGAAGGGAAAGATTACCAATGAATAATAACTTAAATTTGGATCTGCCACTTTTACGGTGCTTTCATGTAATTTCTAAGTTTGAAAATTTGCATGGCCAAAAATGACGAGCACTATATTCAACATTCCTTCTTTTGTGTTCTACAGAAGAAATGAAGTCATACATGTTTAGAATGACTTTGGGGTAGGTAAATGATGACAGAACTTTCATTTTTGGGTGAACTTTCTCTTTAACCTCACTAATTCGAAAGATTACCAATGAATAATAACTTAAATTTGGATCTGCCACTTTTACGGTGCTTTCATGTAATTTCTAAGTTTGAAAATGTGCATGGCCAAAAATGACGAGCACAATATTCAACATTCCTTCTTTTGTGTTCTACAGAAGAAATGAAGTCATACAGGTTTAGAATGACTTTAGGGTAGGTAAATGATGACAGAACTTTCATTTTTGGGTGAACTTTCTCTTTAACCTCACTAATAACTATTTCCTTTCATGCATTAAAGGGCAACAGCAACAGGTCATTCCTATATACAGTATGTAAACCACAGACAAAACACCAAAAGACAAATGATCATGGGTTAGCCCATTGTCCTCCTTTGACATTTTTCATATGGACAGGCAGACTGATTCTTAATATTAGTCTTACATACAGCATGTGATTAATTTTCCCTATTGAGCACCTTGTCTTTATCTTGGCTTAAAACGCGGAAGAAATGTGCTCTTCAGGGATTGTGGAACCTTGACTGGTTCAGATGTTCACAAATGTACTTGGAGACATCATTAATACATAGTGTTTTCTTATCTGATGAGCTCGGTCGAAACTCCGCTAACTACGGAAAGAGAAAGGTGGCCAAATTTCCAGATGGAAAGAACAATATTTATAGATTGGAAGTAAAACAAACATTACATTGGATTAGAAGATGCATATAGAAGCCAATACGCCTGATAACACACACTCATAAATATGCGTGCGTGTCACTGCACAAGCTTTATGGCGAGTTAAATGCACACACACACACACTCCATGCCTTATATTACCAGGATATAAACATCAATTTGAGCTTGATGAGGCATATATCGCAGGTGTTAGAGCCGACCATCATGTTTTTTACTTGAGTGCTTGATTTCTGATGTCTGCAAAATGGGAACAGCTCAGCGTAAGTGAGCACCATATTTCAGTAGGCCATTATTTCCATGTAATGAGAGATCTGGCAACAGCTGAATTTTATCTTAAAATAAAGGAGCTCCTTCACAACTTAACTCGCGTTCTAATGTTGGATGAGGACTGGGAATTTGGCGCCAATAAATTACATGACATCAAAAAAAGCCTATAAAGGGAGCATAAATTATACCCTTCAGAAAATTGGAGACGTGAAGACTGTTTTCCCTAATAGAGCTCTACAAGATGGAAGTGATTCCAAATCCATTTCCCAAATGATCCCCGAATGTAAAGCCGATACTGAAGGCCTTTTAAATAGCAAATGTAAAGCTTCTGTTTGGAATATTTCATAAAATCTCATTACGTATGATTGAGTGTAGTATTCAGAACCACTGAATGGGCAAAACTACAAAGAGTTTTGAAAATGGCTAAACTAAAGTCTAACATGCCATGAAATGGTCAAGAGCAAGAATAGTGAAACAAATTACTTATAATGTGCCGCTAAAAGATTTAAAACAGAAATAAAATATGCTAAACAATTAGTAAAGACAAATCTCAAAGTACCTCAGTATGAATCCAGAACTGATACAGCAGGTTAAACTGTATGTGCACTGCAAATACATACGAAGGCACCATCAGTGCCAAAGGAAGGTAAAACACCTGATAAAACATAAAATATTATCACTTCATAATAGGCCATTAGCTATTAGCACATGGTTAGAGCTCATTAACTAATAACTGTTACATGATCTAAGGTGTATCGTGCCAAAATTATCACAGATTAATTAGTGAGATGCAGGTGCTTTGTACCCATGAGGAAAACTGCTGGGTGACAGACTGGCGAAGTGCTGTCGACAGATTGTAGTATTCAGAACTGTGGTGAACCTGATGGGCAGCCCACAGGAAGTTTAACTCTGAAACAACAAAAAGAGAGAAAGATACAGCTGAATGACATTGTCAAAACAATGTGGAGAATGTGAATCAATGATAAGCAGCAATGAAAGAGACTCATTTCTATATTTTGACTGTAGACATTTTTTTTGGCAAATGCTCTACATTTCACCTGGATCTGGTGCTATATTAAATCTCTTGCCATTACTGGACTATTGAGACTTTAACTGTTCTGTAAATTACTGGTCCACAAAAAAATTAAAAAAAATTCCAGCTTTAAAAAAAAAAGGAAAGGGACCATTTTCGGAACACCAATATCTTTTTTGGGCAGTAAGATTTGTCTGCATCCTTCTGAATATGCACAAGGAGAAAGAAAAATTCTTCTAAACAAATAATAAAAAAATAAAATAAAATAATGAATAAAAATAAATGTACATGAAGTTTCTGTGAATTCTAGCATTTGGAACATTTTAAAATTTTCTCAAGAAAATACACTGTGTTAAAAATAGTTAGTAAAAAATAATAGTAAAAAAAGCCCACCCCTAAGTCTCAATAATATTCTGGTCCCTTGATACGGCTCGGGTTCCTCCTTCAATAGAAGTCTATGGGATTGCCTAAGCAAGTACATCTAATGAGGTTGCAAACACTGTCAAATCTTTTTAGGATTTTTCTCTGAGATAGTCGAAGGCCTTGTGTAAGTGTGAGGTCCATCAAATCTAAGAGCTGGTGAAGTTCCCAATGAAATGCTGCAATCCAGCTAACAAAACACACCGTGGTGAGAGTGTAAGAACGAAATCTTCCTCTCTGCCAGTGGGGCTCCGCTGAGATGTTAGAATAGCTAGGCCAGCAAAGTGAGCAGTCGAAGCTCTCCATTGAGAAAACAACATCAAACTGTCCACTTAATCCAGATAACAGAACCAGGAATGGATGCTTTGTTTTTATTCACACACTATGAATTTTCAATGCATTTTAGATACAATGCAATTATAAATAAATAATAATAAAATAATAATAAAGTTACAAAAAAAGTAAAATTTTACTTGCATCACCAAACAGAATTGCAAACAAAGTGACATGAAAATTTAGTTTCCCTAAACATTCCCCCTTGCTATTGGTTGAACAAACAGATAGTCCCACCCCAAAATAACGCCATTGGTTGTCTTTGCATTTCAAGCTATTATAGAAGTACTTTACATTAAAAATATACACAATTCAGCTTTAAATTCCAAACTTTAAATGAAGTATTGCATGAGCTAATACTACTTTGTTATAAATGACACTCTTTAGTGCTTTCTGCTTGAAATCAAGAGATGAAATGAGAGGTTTTTCGCCAAACACACCCGCAGAGCTCCAGTCATTGCTTGAGAGTGTGTGAGCCCATGCTTTCACCTCCTAGGGCAGAGCAGTGTAAGATTGATGTGGGGTGTCACTGGTAGGAAGTATGTTCAGCTAGGCCTCATTGCAATCCATGTCCTCGTGCGCCGGCCTCAGCTGGAAGCCGCATAGTTTGGCAGGCAGTATTCAGAGGGGAAGAGCTTTAATGATGAGAACCTATGCCACAGAAAAGACTTTCTCATCATGCCTGAAGATCATGGTCTGCTCAGACACAGAGATTGTGTTCTTTTCTCAAGAATACAGGGATAAACAGCATGGTTGCACAGATAGCAGTGTGTACTATAAATGGATATAGAAACGCATTATTTTGGTCTCAACACTCAAGGAGAGATAACATACAACAATTGTAGATAATTCACAGCCACAAAAATAATTGGCTAGTTAGTTAGGGTGAGATAAATAATAATAATAATAATCATAATAATAATAAAAGCATTATGAATTATAAAATAAAAAATATTATTATTATTACTACACAGATTATTATTATTATTGATTGGACAAAAATCTTGGTAGCGCTGAATAAGTAATCAAAATTGTTAATAATATCATGCAAAAAGGTTAAAAACTAAATGGAATTAGTTCATACAGTAGGTTACCTCAAAGCTAATATATATGGACTAAATTAATTTAATAATTTTTGTTTTTAAGCATTTCTAATATTTCCATACATTTTGAGATTTTTCTTTTCTTGAAAATGTCCACCGTGCTTGCTCATGCCATAATTTTAGGATTTCAAATAGTTTTTTTCTCAATCTAAATTGATATCCATGTCATGACATTCTCAGAATGAATGGACGAAATTCATGGCATCTAAGTAAATCAAAGTGTCTATTGTACTTAAATCGCTCTTATCTATAAACTCTGGTATGAACGCAAAGTACAAGAACAGAAATGCACAAACTCACGTACACTGTAAAAAATGACAGTGAATTTAACGGTAAAAGACTGTAAAAATACCTGTTAAATGGTTAACGGTAAATTCCCCTACTATATACAGTGAAAAACTGTATTGGACATTACATGTAATTTTACGGTAGTACACAGTTTTTGGAAGTGAAAAAAGACTGTATAATTTACAGTTAATAACCGTAAATTGACATTCCCAGAATTCCTTGCGTTACATTTCAAATGTGATGTTTTTTTTGTTGAAATAACTATGTTTCTTCTTAGTTTTTTCTTATCAGTTTTGTATATTAGGGGTGTGTTTTACATCTAATGTTGTTAAATTAATGTTTATTGCATTATTTCAGTTTTATGTGTGTTACCATTATGGTGTTTAGTGTTTGGTGAATGATTAAAATAGAGTCTGGGTACCTTTGCTCCATTTCAGTTATTTGTTCAGCCAGCTGTTGCATCGCGGCGCTCACAAAGCCCTTGTTGGTGCGGGTGAGGAGAAGAAGTTAATCCGTTTTGTTAGGAAGGGAACGGCCATTCGCGAGATGAATGCTTGGGAGCGCAGTCCGAATGCCGCACGCGGAGCTTCACCAGGGCGCCGGCGTGTTTCCCTCTTCTGCGTCTGCATGCGCGTTTGAACAACACCGCTGTGCCTCCGACTAGAATGTCCAACAAAACGTCTGAATAATCAAAAACCGGAAAAATATTGTCTGGGGTGTGCTGCTTAACGTTAAGGAGTTCGTCTCTGGTAAAACTTATAGAAGAAGAATGACAAAACACAGAACAAACAAACAAAAACAATAGAAGAATCTCGGAGCTCAGCATCCGCAATGAAATTACGGTATTTAACTGTAAATTTAAGTTAAAATTGTAAAACCTAAAATGTTGCTACCTTATTTTTTACGTTCAAATTCCAGCAACCACAGCTGCCGTTTTTTTACCGTAAATTTTACAGATTTTTTTTTTACAGTGTACAGTTACCTTAAGCCACTGTAGAGAGGCCTTTACACAAGCCTCACACAAGGTGAAGGGTTAAACCAACAACAAAATACATTGATTATACCATTGTGCATTACAGCGCACAGTTTAAAGAGTGCTGTAAAAACATTTTGAAAGAAACAATAAATTCATAAAAACTCTCTACTTGCAAATATGTTAATGCATTTTTAATGTGTTAAACATTTGTACATTCGAAAAACCTAATTATAAAAACTATAAGGGACCAAGAACACTTGGCAGGCAAGCTGTTTTCATCACATGCACTAAATAATGAGTTTTCCCTTTTCATCTAACATGCAAATATCCCCTCAGCTCTAATGCCACCCTCAGACTCGCTCCCACATGATGCCATGGGCCTCGCTGAGCCTCAGCGTGGCGAGAGACTACATGCCATGTCACTCAGGTTATCAATGAACTGTGAACGTCTGGGCAGAGAGGACAAGCTGTCGGCGAATAAAAGAGGCCAACACAAACAGTCAGCCGAAGCAACCAAACCCATGTCTGTCACCACAATACTTCCCAATGTCTTCGCTCACAGTCAAAACTGCTGCTGGAGACATTTGTAAAAAGAGTGGTACTTTTCAAATGACAGTGCACATGAATAATCTCAGCAGATATTCAGAAAAAACTGTGCGTTTGTTAATTGTTAATAAACAATAGATTAATACTGTGCAACTTAGGTTTTATTAACCGAATCAGTGATTTTGAACAAATCGGTTAAAAGAATGCGCCAATGACTAATTCATAAAGACAACAGCTGCATCAGATATTGCATACGAAAAAAAGTGAAGCAGTTAAGTCGCTAAGTAGTTAATTATTCAAACAAAGAAACAAGTTTATTTCCTTAACATATTTTATTACTAAAGGTAATCATTACTTGTTTATGTTGAGTAACCACTCTGACAGATTCAATGAGTTTAAGATTCATTAGACTAATTCAAATGGTAACTTTTCTTTTTGTTCTTTTTGAATGATTCATTAAAAGGGCCGGCTCATAAGAACTGTTAGTGAATCACATTACACTTGATGTGCTGTATGTTTCTGCTTCACTAAAAAGAATTGGTTTAAAGGAGTCATTTGTTATTTAATCAGACTACACTGGTTGTGCAGTATGTTATTGCTTTCAGCCTCTGAGGAAAACCGCAATGGAATTTATATATTTTTTGCCATATATTGCCATATATTTTTCTATCTTATAACATTCAATTCGCACTGCAAACACAGATAAAATGGCAACTTCTGTCATGTGGTTGTAAATTCAGCAGTGGAGTTTGCCACTGCAATTCAGTGCAGGAAACACTGGCATAGAGTAAATTATCGATCTTGGTATTTTAAGAATAGATATGAAAATCCAGTTCAAATGATGATTGTGATTATTCAGAAAAATATTTTTACCCAGCCCTACTTCACACATGGCATATGGTGAAGGTAGACTCCAATCCTGACAGACAAAATTTTCGACACAGCAAGAGACATCCCTGAGACTGACTTGGTCTGGCCTCGTCCAAAAATCACATACACATACACACACTCGCCTACAAACACAAGTGGCTGATTTGCTGGACATTGTTGATATTATTGCAGGGTCCCGGGGGCGCTCGTTTGAGTCCTGGCTCTACATCCTGACTGGTTTGATTCTTTTGTACACCCTCCAACCTGCACGGCCGGGGACTTCCAGAGGCAGGAGAAGATTTATGAAGACCCCGTGGCCTGGGGTTAAACCCCGCTGCCT